GCGTCACACAGACCACAGCTCTGACATCTGAAATAGGATTATTTTTTCTTGCTGCTCTATCAGTATTTTATATTGTCTGTGCAGACTCTCAGTCGTCCAGGTCATTGTAATCCTAACAGCGTCAGTAGAAGGCAAATGGACTCGATATTGGAGTGACTTTAAGTCACATGTTTAAATGTTTCGAGTCGTGTTGACCAGCTGGTTATGAAGCAGGAGTTTTAAGAAGCTTCTCTGTTCAGACAGACTTTAGTCTTCTCCATATGGTGTCTGTGGTTCCTCACTGCAGTCTTTCTGCCGGCGTGGTGGACGGAATTCTACATTCACTGATATCTAGTTTGTAGATTTTGTGATTCTTAAACATGACCTCCTCCTCTGCTGGCCAAGTGGTCACTGCGCTCTAGAAAAAGCTGTAGTTCTTTTAGCTTCCTATTTTTATCATTTTGCCCATTTCAAATTAAAATCTGCATCAGTTTTTCTTGATAAGTTTGACCTCTCCAATGTTAACCGTGCTCTCACATAAGTTATAAAAAAAAACACATTTAGTAACTGCTCTGGAGCTACACTGTAAAACACCACAAAGAAAGTTAGTCAAATCAACAAATGTCTTTCTAGTTTACTTAATGTAAATGTATGAATGTTGTAAATTTAGTTTACCTTCAGATGTGTAGCTTGTTATTTTCAGACCACTTTAGAGCTTGAAAACATGAACATTAAAATCCTTGTTGATTTAAGATGACGAGTTGAACGAACAAACGACTTGTTTTTTGTCGTTTGAGGGAAGAGAAACGGTGGGAACTTGCTGTGTAGCTCTAATTTAAATTATCTGTGACTTTTTATAATAATCAAACCAGTTCATGAAGAGGTTAGTTTCATTTCCAACCACGACAGACCTACATCTCTTGAACCCGTCTTCACCCAGGTGCTGTGCAGAGATCATTTTGCACATAATTTTTGTAACGTTTGTCGACATTTTACAACATCTATCTCTGTGATTTCTGCTTACACCCCAAATAGTTCAATTTATCGGTGTTGTTTAAAGAATCGTCTTACCTGCAGTCTTCGCAGTCTGATGTGTGTCTTCAGACAGCAGAGCAGGAACTACACTCTGTCACAGTCTGCTGTGAGAATGTACATGTGAACTCAAAAGCAGACCACAAAGTCAAAATCACACTCACACAGGCAAACACACCGCACGGACTCCAGCATCCTTCCTGTTTCACATGGTCTTTAGTGAGCTTTTCTACTCTCATATGTTTCTCAGAAACTTCCTCCTTAAGACTTTTTTGCAGATGTGGCAGTTCAGATAAAAACCTCTTTTTGTGTTGAAGTTTGTTTGTTGTCAGCGTTGTGGTGAATCAATGGGGGAAGTCTGACTGTCTACAGCAGCACCATGAAATAAGACTGAAAACCCCTTCTCTGCCAGGTTTGACTGTGTATCCAGTAAAATGCTACTTGACCAGGACAGTTTTGTCTCATAATGTAGTCCTGGTAAAATTTTTAATGACTCAAACATGTACACATCTTATGTCAGATCTGTGGTCATTTCAACAGAGTGGAGGCAAACACTGACATTTCTGTGGCATGTTGCTCTTCAGCGGTGCTTTCTCTTTCTACATCACAGCTCCCTCTGGAGGAGGACAATGCTGCTTCAGGGTGGACGGAGGCGGAAATCCACTCATGTATTTCAGTATTTAAATCTAGCAGTTATTTCTGTATGTGTTGTAAATAACACATCACTAAACTAGTGAATGAGAGTGAGACTGACCCGGCAGCTGCATGAAGCTGCTGAGCTGGAACAAAAAGAGAAACACTCAGTAACTGTGAGCACACCAGCAGTTCAGGGTGATGTTTAAAATCTGTCAAGCCTTTTCACATGAATACAGTCAGCCACCGATACAGACTGTAAACTCTTTTATTTTCTTATCTGCATTCACATCTGGAGCTCCGGGAACTCAGACACAACGTGTTTGTCTATGAGCTTCTTGTAGACACCAGAGAAAGTAAGTAAGTATATAGGTGTCACTCACATAGTGTGTAGTCCATGGAACACTATTATTGCATTTTATTGATTTTTTTAGCAGAAACAATGCTATTTTCTATCGCTGCATGTCACCAACAGAGGTCAGTCCAGTAAAGTGGAACCTGGCAGCAAGTGTCAGACTGCAGCCGGAACCTGCAGAACCTGCAGAGCCCAGAGTGACGAGGAAACATCCTTCAGTACCACGTTGAACTCGTCATTAAATTATACAGCCACATTTTGGCCAATTATATCTGCTGCAAAAGCAACACTTACCTTGTTTGCTTATTTGTTTAACTGAGTAATAGCATGATTCACTTTCAGAGATCAAAAATAGGAAGTGGACAAACAAAATATAAAAAAATGTAAACATCAGAATCTCTCTAATGACAGGTGTACAGATTTTTGTTGCAGTGTGCATATATTGCAGTCTATTAATTTTACATAAGGCCTACTGATACTTCATATCGTACCAGCGATGTCCACTTGATGGTGTTGTTGGTCTACTAATTTTAAATGCTGCAGACTTGACCTTTTAAAGTCCAAACCAGCTGCAACAATGTTATGATGATCAAGATAATCTCTAACATTTAAAAAATGTCAGTTTATAAAAATACACATAAACTTTGTCAGCACTTTTTAAATGGCCTGTCTTTGAATTATTTTTTATAGACAACTTGCTGTATCTTCAAAATAATGGCACTAAATGGAAAGTTAGAAGCTTTCAAAATAAATTGTTCTTTATTTTTTATATTTTTACACAAGTTGCAAAGCATCAGAGGCATCAAACTGTAGAGCTCTGGGATCATTCGGATGTACACAGAAAGAATGAGGCCAGTTAAACAAAGTGACTCTTACAACGTACTTAATAGGAAACAAGAGATTATTGTACATGAAATTTGGCAAAATGGCACAACCTGTCAAACAAAACCATCCACAGATGAAAGTCCCTGAACAATAAACAAGTGATGGGTTTAACATTTGGTCTGCAAACTGACTTAGTAATGTTAGTTACAGAGAAAATCTCTAAAGTTTGCTAACATTAGCCACCACAAGCTACTGATTATAGCAGACCAAGTGTGGTTGTAGCTGCAGAGCCCCTGAGTGGTTTGAATTAAGCCACAGTGGGTTGTAATAACGTAACATTATATTTGTCAAATTAAGAGTTTCACGTTTAAAAGTTCTCGTCTCACTTTTCCAGGAAACCACATACAAGGTTGCCTCTGTGACATTTATTTTATAGTGATAATCTTTTGTAGTAGCTTCATAGCTCTTGCATAATGTTTAGTTAGTATAAAGGCAGCTAACATAAACCAGACACACTTAATGAACGCTAAAGGTCTTTAGGGAAAGCTTAGAAGCTTTTTGGATGTTAATCATCAGTGGATCCAAAATGAATCCCTGAGGAACTCCTTCAGAACGGTTTCCATGATAGGACCTCCAAGCACACAGGAGCTTTTCTAACAAATTCTTTTTTGAGTACATTAGGCCACAATACGAAATACTTAAGGTCAGTAAGTGAGTAAACAAGTTCTGCTTTTTAAATTATTCCTGAAATTTTTGGCAGCTTCCAACTGACCTGTACATGCAGACAATGCTGCCAAAGGAGGAAAGCAGCAGTTTGCAGAATAAACTCAAGTGTAGGTGCAAGATTTAAACAAACAGATTTTTATCTGGTAATTTCTTTTTAAAAAACATTTAGGAATCAAACACTGAAAACTTTGCTCTAAAACCAAACCACCAGCACATGTTTTCTCAGTCGGCTGCTGTGAGGGTTCATGGTTTCTTCAGTTTGAGTCCTTTTGAGAATTTTTACAAGAAGGTATATAATAGCTTCAATAACAATAACTTTAGAACTTCCTGTCATAAAAAGTGTTATAAATGTTGCTTAACGGTCAATTTAGTAACACTCCTATCTGCCATGTTCCCTTCGCTAAAGGACATTGTTACTGAACTTATTTTTCTTATTAATACACTTATATTACTGCTGAATTTCAGAGCTATTTAGTAACATGTTGAGCCTCTGCATTTCTAACCTTTCTTTATCCGATAAAACTGCAAAAATCACACTTTGTTAGATAAATGCCTGGAATTCTGGCTCCAGTGATGAAATAAACACAATCGATAAAAGAAAAAGTATATTTATAAACCAAAGGGGTACAGAAATGCTGAGGCACTATCGACTCCTTGAGAGGAAAAAGGTGCTCTGAAGTTTAGAAATGCTTCACCACTTTTAAATCAGAAATACACTGAGGAATCCGAAACCTCAAGTTGTAGCGTCTCCAACGTTTTGGAATTGGTTTGTTAGATGTTTCTGGTTCTAATAGTTGTCACAATACAGAGAAGCCAAAATCTCTTGAAAACAAAAACCAGCTTCATTTCGAAAAGATTCAGGCTGCTGTAAACACAAATGATGAGGTACTTTGCAATTTCTTTAGAGGGGAAAAATGTTGACATGCACAAGTTGACCGTTGACTTGTCTTTCCTTGAGTGTGGAAGCTCAGCAGGTCAAAGCTTGTTGGTAAATGTTTGTTTCCAGTGATTAAAAAAAAGCAATATTGCAAACTGATTAGCTGAATTGAAAAGAAAACACAAGTCACTACAAGACATTGAGGTGTCAGCAGCTAAATATCTTCGTGAGCGTCTTTCAGGCTGAAAGAAAGACAGGTTTTCTGTTGTCTGTTTGAACCTGCCTCGCTCCTCTCTGGACACATGGGAGTCTTGGGATTCCAGTAACTGACACAGATGGGACCAGGTGGTCAACTTAAACTCCAAGCTTCAAAATGTCTTAAAAATGCTGGTGTTGCATCCATGTTTTCACTCAGTCTGTTGAAGGAGCAGGTGAACCGCTGAAAACGTTTAGATCCAGCAAACCATCATGAACTGGATGCCATCTCAATTGGTTCAACAAGTGGAGGAAGTCCTTCCATCACAATGTACGTAACAGTTTAATTTTCCATTTAAAAACAACTGAGAACATTTTTTGTTTGTTTGTTTGATGGTCAGTCCCGTTTCTGGTATATGTGATAAATGGTACAGACGGGAAGGATTCATGTTTACATGTTTACATCTCTATACAGATGTAGCATTGAAGAATTTGTCATGTGAGGGTTAAAAACAACATGCAAAGACAAAAGAAGATCATTAAATTTGGTTAAAGGACAGACATGGGCTTTTGTGTTTGTTTTCAGGCACTTCTGTGTGATTAAGCACCAAGTCAGATATATATAAGAACAAATTTTTAGTGATTTAAGAGTCTCCAAGTCAGAATCACAACGTTGGTGATGACACAAACTCTACTCCATCGATGTAATCTCAATTTTGGTAAGTCACTAATAGCTGAAATCCATTTATATTCCTATTGTTGCTGTCTAATGTCAGACAGCTAAAGTTCAAGATGACTGTAGAAAAAAAAGATTTCTTTAATTGGCCATACCAGCTAGCCCTATTTGACTGTTTCTTTTACACTCAGAACACCTCTGTTAGAAAGTTTATAGTTCTTGCGTATTATTTTATCAATGTAAAGGGACCTAACATGAACCAGAAATAATCTTCACGAAAGTAAAAAGTCTTTAGATCTTAAAACATCAGAGGATCCCTGATGGTTCCCTGAGGACCACCTTTAAAGCTTTTCATGATAGAAAGATTTCTTCAAAGAATATCTAAAAACAAAATGTTTTAGAGTGCATAAACAGAAATTTGAACTACCATTAAGCAAATTCTGCTATTTAAATTACACCTAAAATGTTTAAATACCTGCGGAAAACTTTGCCAAATGAAACCAGCAGGTTTTAGAACAAACTCCAGTGTAGGTTTGATTTTTATTTTAATTTAGTTTTAAGTTTTGATAATAGATGACATTTTGGAAAATCAAATGTTCTCATTTTCTGTAACTGGTTTATTAAATGGAAAATTAAACTAATGAGTGATGAACAGATTCCAGTATTGAGTGGTGTATATTCAGCTTCCTCTCTTCCATTAGATGTTGAGTAAATTCCACAAGTCCAAAATCTGTTGTTTTTCACCACAAATTTTTAATATTTAGTTGAACGACTTCTCCAGAGGGGGAAAAAAATAAAAATAAAAAATACTTCCTAGATATTTAAAAACAGACATCCTGAGGGTCAGGGTGAGAATATAAAACCTCTTCCAGTAGCCAGGTGAGAATAATTTGTCTGTATATGTATAAACTTAAAACAGTGCTTTGCGTCCTCAGTGGCTCAGCAGCCTGAGACGAGCCAACCAGCCGCCGAGCAGCGACGTCGACTGTTTGGTTACAGCCTGAGGAGGAGAAACAGCAGCAGAGGTGGAGGCAGCGGACTTTTTGGACGCTGCTTCCTGGTAAGGGATGGTGGCGCTGTTGTGCAGGTCGGCATTTATGAAGCACTGGCTGCCTCTGATGTGGTCGACGCCGCGGACAGACGGGTGGCCTCGGTACGGCAGAGGGAAACATGGCTCCTCCTCGGTGATGGTGCTGATCCGCTCATTGCTCAGGTATCTGTGCAGAATGTCCTTCCCTGTTCAGGAGGCAAGACGGGAGCAAAGAGTTCATTATTCTGTCGGTGGTCCTCTTTAATCACTTCTATTCTCAAGGACCCTGCACCAGAACCAGGTCGAATCAGTGAAAAAACCCCACTGACACCATTTTTCAAAAGTTTCTAATCTTGGCACATGCACTGAAGAGGTCACCGAGTGGTTCTATTATTACAACTACAGTTCCTTCATTTACGTTTTTGGGTAAATTTGGTAGAGTTGCAACTAAGACATCAGTATCACAAATTCATTCCTATAGCTCTGTTTTACCTCATTTGTTTTGATTAGAAAGTACATTTGCAAGTTTTTGTTAGACTTTATTAGATCTTACTCCAACCTGATGATAAGGATAGAGACTTCTTGTGTTTCAATTTGATCCATAGAGGCCAAGGTTAATCATTCTGGCCTCTCAGTTTTGCAGCGGCCTCCAACTAAATTTGGGGACGTTTTATCAGGTGGGACCAAAGTGGTGCTCTTTGGTACTTTAACACAATCTAATAACACGACATTTGACATTGTTTTATATAAATAAAATGTAAAACTGATTGCATGGATGAAAAAGGATCAGATGTCTGGTTCTGTTGCATTGGTTTTAATCCTTTCATTTAAAGTTGTCATTCCTGAGTTTAACAGTATTATGTAAGTGAATGCCTAAGCTGGGAAATACTTGTAAGAGTCTATGAGCAAAATAAAGCTTCAGTTTAAATCTGAAATCATAGTTGTCACAAGGAGTAAGTGGAAGTCTGACTGCAGGTACATACAGCAGAGGTTAGAATTTAAAGCTCAGTACCGGGTTTCTTCTAGGAAAGCAACACTGAAGGACAATTGTTAATGTGATGATGACTTAATGCAAAACATGGAGCAACGGCTAACAATTCTATTGTTGTACTTGTGTAGCGCCTGTGTCCACCTCTTCCTGTGTCTTTGTTTAACTGTTCGTTAAGGTCGACTGTTATCTCGGACAAACACACATTTTTAGATCCGTTTAGTTTGTTCTTCAAGGTGAAGTTTGTAAGAAACAGATTTAACTGCTACTAAAATCAGTTCTAACGATGCAGCAGCAGCAGTTTAGAGTTAATGATTGACAAGGTAAAAATTCCAAGCACGCAGGCCGTCATGCTGCGGTTAGTCCCTGCCTGTTAATGAGGCAGACAGACGGCCATTACTGATAACAGTCAGACTATAGGCGCGTATAGCCGGACAGGTGGAGTTTACCTTTCCTTCCCTGAGCCCCGGGCTTGGAGGACGGGTCAGACACGCCTGAAAAAGACTCCACCGGCATGGAGACAGGTCGAGGTTTAGCTGCAAACAATCCAGAAACAACAAAACTTTAAGACCTGCATCAGGACCCAGTGCAAGACATGTATGTGCACAAAGAAAGACAATGATGTCTGTGGTTACATGAAGTTTTTATCTCTCTTTTCTGCTCCACAGAAACCAGCCATCTCATGCGTCAACCACACTACCTCCCGAACCCCAACTCAGAAGAACTTTCTCATTATGATGCTGGAATTTGAAGAAGAAGAGAAAAAAAAAGGCATTTTGGGATCCTACACTTATTTGTTTTGTGGCATAAAGCATGATGAGATGATTGATATGACTCCAGTAGCTCCAAGTTAAATATGAAGCAGCCACCAGTGAGCTTCACTTAAGATAAAGACTGGACAAGTGGAAACAGCTAGTCTGGGTCAGTCTAAAGCTTCAAAAGAACCTTGAAAGCTTACAAATTAACACATTATATTCCATTTCTTTAACCTGTACAAAAACCAAAAGGTAAAAGCAACTCTTTGAGGTTTATTGTGCTGTAACCATCAGTGGAGACTCCAGGAAGTTACTGGTCCTGGCAAATAAACACATATAGCACATAACCTCCACACAATCAAACATATTTTTCTAATTTTTATACTTTGTTTGTTGCCTTTGTGCTAACATAACTGGCTATATATGTTGAAACGAATGTATACAGACATACAGAAAAAAATGTAGAATCATTCCAAAAAGCTGATTTAGATCCGAGTTTCTTAACCTTTGGGTGCACTTGCTTGCAGATGCGGGTCCCGGGAGTGTTTGGATATTTGTTTCATTTGTTTTTGATCAAAAACTAATTTGTTCTGCATCACTGACTTATATCATCCATACACAGATCAAACAAATATTTTATTTAACAGACATGAATTTTTTGGGATCTAACATTTTGGGCTGTAAAACAAGTTCATGGGCTGATAAAGGTTAAGAACTCCTGACTCACAGCAACATGAGGAGAGAAAACAATATATTTATACATCCCTGTGCAGACACAGTTCTAATCTGCTCAAGTATAAAAACTTTAAAGACAATCGCATCCACTGAAATAGAGTATTTCTACAGTAGATATGTTAACAATGTAAAAACATCAAGACTTGGACCACATCAGACACTTCTCTCTCTCTCTTCTTTAAGAGGCTTTTTGAGGATGAGGACATTTTAGAGTTAGGTTTAGGTCGAGGTCAATGACCAGGGGATGTTTTGTGTAAATGCAGGTCTACACAAGTACATTTGCACTTACAGCGTGCAGAGGAGCGCTGTCTGAGGCGGACTGGGATTGGCTGGCTGAGTTCAGGCACGGGGCCCACAGACACTCTGTTGTCCTCTGCAGCAGTCGAGCGTCGCCTCACGTCTGCGTCCAGACACGAGTTTGGAGATTTAGGACGCATTTTCACACCTACAGACACATTTTTGTTCCCATCTCTGCAACAGGGATACAGCACAAGGGGGAGGAAACTTTGCATTATGGGTAAAAAATAAATTAAATGGAGTTGAAATATTAAACTATTAAATACACAGATCCTAGGAAACTGAAACCTGTGGGAGACTCACATTGGGGCGTACGGTGCTGCCGGGGGAGGAGGGATGTACAAATCCAGGATGGCCGTCTTCCCCCTATTCCCAGCAGCCTCTGAGGATTGTGGCTGTCGAGATCTGTAGAGACCCGGAGCTCCCTGAGACGTCTGATGATTAGAAAGAGAAGCTACAGTCAACCAGACGAATAGAAAACAAAACTTTAATGGGAACAAAACAATCTGAAGCCAACAATACTTTACAACACATCTCAAAGGCGGCTCTGACTCCTAATCTGTGTTTCATACGGCTTTACGTCAACACCTCTCTAACACAGAAACAGAAAAAGACAGCCGGGGAGATGACGGTTCCTTTAATGTTGTTCATCATCAAACGACTGGACGTTGTTCCAGGTCAGGAGGAGAAACAGCAGACGAGGCTCTTCTGTTTCCTTCCTCGACTCCAAGGCTTCTGTGTTTCCATAAACACAGGAGCTCTGCTCAGCTCATTTTTTGTGATTTTTTTTTTCCATTATAAATGGATCTACTTATTTTCTGATTAGCGGTTTAATTCACATGGCAGAAAGCTCCAACAGTACAAGGCAATGTCTTTAAATTGTTCAAGAGTCCAAAAGCAATTCAGCTCACAGTGATACAAAACAGAGACAAGCAGGGAATCTTATTTGAAAAGCTCGAGCCTCAGGATGATGCATTTATACCAAATTACAGCTTGAACAACTCATTGATTATCAAAATATCTAAACCAATTCTTGTAATTACATTCTAATAATGTCATTTTTGCTATTTTACAGACTAAATGTGACAAAGCTACAGCTGAAAATAGTTTGCGGCACCTGAAATGAGAACGAACTTCGTATTTCTGAGCTGGGGCGAGTACAAGTAGAAGAGACGTAAGTGTTAATTCATGATAACCTCTGAACTGAATGATGGAAGTGACGGTGAGGTAAAGACAGACTGACTTCAGATCTGTTTTGAAAGTGGAGATTAGGGGCTGAGCTCATCAGTCGAGCTGCCGAGGGGCATTAAAGACGCCTATCTTCCCTAAACACACACATCCTGGACCTCTGTCAACACAAAACCCCTGAAGGTGGCTTGGTGAATGTAGAATTGTTATATTGTGAACTAACGTGTGAGTCACGAACCAAAGATGTCTGACATCAACACAGCCTGATGTTTGGAGTATTTTCTATCCCCCTTTTTTCAGGAAAAGAGAAGAAGGGCTCCATTGTTCACCCACTCACCTCAGTGGAGCAGCAGACTGGGTGGCTGCAGTGTTTTGTGCTCGATTTGCTCACAAACACAAACAGCTACAGCAGAAACTACAAGTTATGATGACAGACTGAAAGCCCACCAAGAGCAGCTGTATTTGCCCAGAGAAGGGTTAATAAAACAATCTGCTTCAACTTCACAACAGTTACATACAGTCACACCTGTGAAGGCTGATAGAGCTGCAGCTCAAAGACATCTTAACAGTAATTCCTACGTTGTTTAGCAAGTCTTAGGATTCAGCATGTCAACTCCTCCATTAAATAAGACAGACTTTTGTATCCCTTCTCCTCCCTTCACACCTGCTACCACCACAAGTAGGAGTGGTTAATATTCGGTGCTTCACTCAAGAGTGATCAAGAAGAAAAGAAAAGTTAAAAAGCGAATACACCGATGAGGAGCTCATGCAGCGTTCTGCTACAAAGCACCTCAGTGCGGCCGGTGTTTCGACTTTGTCAGGGCAGAGCTGTGAGGTTGTCTCAGCAGCACTCACCTGTACAAGCGGCGGCCTCCAGCGCAGGTTTTTCAGCGGAGCAGGTGCGAAGCCTCCGGAAGTTCCAGACGGCCTCTTCTTCACCATCAACACAACGCTGCCAGACTCCGCCCTCAGCTTCTCCACCAGGTGCTTCAGCTGCCAACCCACCTGGACCAATCACAGAGCAGAACACTGAGCAATGCAGCCTCTAGAAGGTGTTGGCATGAAAGGAAAATTTAAATCTTCTTACTTTGAAGCCAAAGCAGGACGAGTTTATTTTCTCCTGTCACATTTTTACTCACTGTGGGCTCATTTTTCACTGCAATATAAAGTATTAAACCTCTATAGAAGCAATACAACCATGGCTAGAAGTAGAAAGAAATCAAAAATGTCCTCTGCAGTGTAACAAAACTATAGTGGCACAAATCTTTGAAAAAGAAAAAAGGAAAAGTCGTTTTTTGATGATTTATTTTACAAAAATGTATGTAATGTAAATGTGCAATAACACAGGTGTCACCGATGTTGAGAAAAAAAACAGAAAGTGATTTTGTACACTGGAGATATTTTACTACTTTCATATTTTTATTTGCTTCCATACTTGTCTCTTATCTAATTGTTGAGACTACAGACTGTAGTTTAACCAAAAAGTCCCTGAACTGTCGTTATATGGCTGTTGGTGGCAGCTGAGTCACTAACGGCTTCATGGCTTTGCTGAAGAGCTAAGAATTTTAGTTTTTTTAGAAGATCTGCTGCAAGTGATCTATTTTCTGCATTTTTTTGTAAACAAGACTGACATGGTTTTCATAAAATATTTTCATAAAATACCCCAATTTTAGGTTCAGATTTGGTTAATTTCCCCATGGAACTCCATTGGTCAGTTAGGTGACGAACTGTCAAAAATTTAAAATCCAAAGATTCTTTGTGCGTTTACAGTTTCTGCCTGTGATAAGTGGTGTAACTGTAGACATGTTTGAAGGTAACATGCCTTGAAAAACCCACTGGTCAGTTTTAAGATTCAGCAGGTTGATAACTATAATTGTCGATGTTGAGAAACTGCCACTTAGTTTATTTTCTGACCAAAAATTCTCATGTACAGATTCAGATTAGAACTCAAACAGTCAAGTACATTTCAAGGAACAGCGCAACAGTTATGGAAAATTTGAGGAAATTGTAAGTGGCTGCAAGATGGCTCTCCTCACAGCTAGAAGATCCCCGGTTCATGTCCCAATTAGGACACCTGGGATCTTTCTGTGTGGAGTGTCCATGTTCTCCCCGTGCAGTGTGGGTTCTCTCCGGGTTCTCCGGCTTTCTCCCACACAGTCCAAAAACATGTTGAGGTTAATTGGTGATTCTAAATTGTCCAAATGTGAGTGTGCTTGGTTGTCTGTCTCTAAGTGTAGCCCTGTGATAGACTGGTGACCTGTCCAGGGTGTCCCCTGCCTTCACCCTGAGTCAGCTGGGATAGACTCCAGCCCCCCACGACCCTAGTGAGGATTAAGCGGTGTATAGATGATGGATGGATGTTCCTCAGGGCAGTCACTGCTCTCAGTTGTGATAAAGTCCTACATGTACACCCCCCACTACTACCAGCAGCTCCATATTTCTTTCACAGACATGAGAGTTACCAAAGTTTTCATCCAAGTCTCTGCAAACTTAGATAACTAAGGCAGCTTCCAAAAATACTGAACAGCTCCTTCCTCCTTTTGACTCACCACTGTCTGTTTGTTGACCTGAACGACTTCATCTCCAGCGTGAATCCTCTGAGTTTTATCTGCAGGAGACTAAATGGCAGACAGAATCACAGTGTTTGTTATCGTGTCAGACTGGACACTGGAGGGTCAACAAACAACAGACTTAACAGACTTCCCATTCTGATTCACAACAACATTCACTAGAAATTGCACCAAACCCAGATGAATGTCCAAAAACTGCTTTATTTACCCAGACAACCCAGCAGAGTGATAAAGAACCAGCAGCACACTCACATTCTCTGTTGTTCCTGTGATGACATGAAGCCCGTCGTAGGTGGATTTGATGTAAATCCCCTGGAAGATTAAACAGAATTTAAGGACTCTGTGTTTGAGAATGTATATATAAATCTTCTATATAAATACACTTCACGTGGTTCCTCTATAATTCCTTGCTGCAGTGGGAGCTGTTGGGCTTTCCTTTCTGGATGTACATCTGTTTCTGTTTTCGACTGAGTGCTGATTGTGGCTCATGGTGCAGCACTAAAATACCTGTTAGTGTTTTTCTGGGGAACTCGGGTTAAATTGTGGATTTTCTTTTTTTTACAGCACCTGGTACTTATCTGACAGTGGTGTCCTGCTGATATCATCTAACATGTCAATGATGCTGTCTGTTTGCATTTTGTCTTTTATTCTGTGCTGCTTCATCTGTTCAGTGAATGAGCTCACCAGTCCCTCTCCAGGCTTGATGTTGGTGATGTGAACCTCCTCCAGACAGGCCATCTCACTTTTGGAGGGGTCAGCAGTCGCCTGGACCGTCTTCTCACAGATGCCGTTTAGAGCTCGCGACTGAAACAGAATTGAAGAACAAGAGAAAAGAAAGTCAATCTTAAATGGCGGTTTGATTTAGACAGCAGGTTCACGACCAAAATACAATATAGTGTGACTTTGAGTTGCAACGATTCTGACTGTCACTTAGAAATACCAAATATTTGATGATTCCTGGTTCCTAAATGTGAGGATTTTCTTCTTTTTTTTAACCCTTAAATTGTTAATAGAGCTAAGCATTAGTTGCAGGCATATTGGACAAACATTTATGACTTATGACTTAAGTAAACCTCAAACAGACTCAATAGCTGTTAGGATCAAGTGGTGGAATCAACAATATTATATATATTTGCACAAGTTTCACAGCCTCAGGGAGACTTTCCAAAAGTTCAGAGTTACATTTCAAACTTCTGTAGTAATGATTTATTTAACAGGGCAAGTCATTGACAGCATGGTGGTCCCGTGGCAGTTTATGTCTCCCTTGGTGACTCTAAAATGCCCTGAAATGACACGGCTGCCTGCTGTGGCAGAACTAAAGGCGTCTGACCCTGACCTCCGACCTGTCAGTGGAAAAGAAAACAATAGATCTACTGCAAGATAGGACGGCATCACATACAAGCTCTAAATATGGTGCTGAGGAAGGTGTTGGTTTTGTTGTACTACAGACGAGTGTCCTGCAGGAGCCTGAGGTCTCCATAAAGTCAACACAGGCTCATGTTATCATTACACTGACTAGACATCCAGCCCTGGAGCGCAGCACTGGGTCTGAGATCATGGGAAGCAGGGAGGTGATCAGGAAAACACAAACCAGCAGGAAATTACAAGTAAAGCAGAAAAACATGCTCCTGTGGAGAGTTAATTGGTCCAGTTCCTCCTATTTGCTTTTGGTTTGCTTTGTAAATACTGGGGAGTTATTTATTGCTCGACAGCAGTTACATGCTGATCTCTGGAGCAGAGAGCAGTCAAAAACCCTGCCTGTGTTTACAGAGCTGCTGATCTGAAATGGTTTGATGAAATAATTATTATTACATAGATGTTTCAGTTTTTCTGTATAGTAACGTTAGACAGAATATATTCAGGCTACACTACAGGTGAGTGTCTGAATGGATCTGATGGATCTCTTGGGAAGCACTTCATTTTTCAAACAAGAGCAGCTGATACTAACCCTCAAAGGATTAGTTCAACAATTCTGGAGACACACATTTGTTTATTTGCGAGGAGAACATCAGTCCCACTCTCTTTGGCTAAATGTGAAGCTACATTTAGCTGAGGCTACCATAGAAACAGAGGGAATCTGCCTGACTATGTCTAAATCCAATTTGCTTAATTTGTACAAAAACCCAAAAGTAAAAACATCAATTTGTAGGCTAATGTATTGGATTATATCTTGGCTGATGAATTCCTGGAGTGTTGCCATCTCTCTGAGGCCGTCAGGTTTTTGCAGTGATGTCAGTTTCTTCATGTAATTATTGGGGGGAAAAAAATGTTGTTTTGGCTCGAATAAAAGACAGTTTTTTCTAGAAATTATGTTTGGAAAAAATGGGGGATCTACTTATATTTGACAACTAAACAATGACACGTCCACTATATCAAATACTCTTTCTGAATGCCTTCTGTAGAGTGTTGCATTTCGGGTTATTTGTGGCCTCAATGTTGCTCAGTACGTTTATGGTGAATCTTTCTAACAGTGTTTGTTAGCCCAGTTTAACCAGTAGGAGCTTCTAAAGCCTGTTCACGGTCTCCCAACATCTTTACTGCAGAAATGTGAAACAACAAAAAACATTAATAGAGTAATACACTTAAAGTTCTGTTAGTGGCACAGAGGAATTGACTTGAAAACTATTTAGATCTTCACTTTGAAAAGTGTAAAATGACACTTTTGTAAGGATCTTTAATTCCATCCAGAGGAAGCTGTTTTACACCTATTTCCTATGTGACTTATCAGCATTGCTACTGTACACAATAAACATCCTTTTAGTAGTCTCGATACACTCTGTTACTTTTTGTGATGATATATGCAGCTAATCTAGAAACATAATTATTCTTATCACAGGAGCGTTAGAGGTCAAAAGGTCACATCAGAGGCTGGTGGTGAGAAAAGAAAGTGACTGAACTCCATCCAGTTCAGTTCTCTGGGAACAAGATGGTAACGGTCAGGAAGTGTTATCTAAGAGAGGAACTGGATGCTACTGAGCTGAATAAACAAACCTGCTGCTTCACAACACACACACACAGATAAACACACACATAAACCCCCCCCATACACGCATACAGGACACTTGGCGCTGGACAGGAAAGGGAAATGTGTGTTTCAGGGCCTGTGTACACGTGCTTTCGATTAGCTTCTCCCTGCAACCCAGCAAGAGGAAAAAGGAGAATCAGTACTCACCACTTCCAGGATCTTCTCCTCCATCTCATAAACAGTTAAGTCCTGCAATTAAAAGAGATGCACAGACTTAGAAATGTCACACCAGTTTTCAGAAAACGTGAGAAAATTAGCCAATGAAATGGGATAGCGACTTCTAGAGCCACCGTTTAGTTATTAAAGTGCTTATTTTGTGCTTTTGTTTTGAACACAGATACGATAAAAAAGAGAAAGAAACAACTGATAAGAGTTGGAGTGCAGCAAATAATCTGTGGAAATTTGGAAAACAAAGTCACATGGTTAAACTCTTTGACCCCAGAGACAATTTAGTGTTTGTTGACTGCGCAAGCAAATGATGTTCAAACACAACTTCAACAAATATGTAAAGATAATGTGCATGAATACAGACCTGTAGCCACCCCTAGATGTCCTCAGTAATATTTCTGGGTGTTCATTGGCATGACAGTAGACTGAAAGGTAATGTAGTGCATGCTGAATTGAGCCCTAATCCTTGAGAGGTGCATCAGTCATTCACCTGGCAGTGTGCAGCAAGATGTGATTACAGAGTTAAATGAATAATATGAAATATTATTTTACTTTGATTGGTGTCAACTTAAATATGTCTCCTATTTCTGACTATATTTGTTTGAATTAGGAAAGAGGGTTGCAACTTAACATAGTCTTTTTTTTTTTAGCATGCAGCAGACATACATTTTTGGGGTCTAAATGGTTACAAGAGTGTCTAAGGATCTTCAGAAATTGTAGGTTTCTGAAAGATTTTCAGGGACATTTCTTTCATAAAACAGATGCTTCCCTCGTGATATATTTGTTTTTAAGAAAAGCACAACTCAGAGTCTCTCATATCAAATGTGGCAACTTTCCTGTTCAGAAGTCAGAACTGTGAGCGGGGTAAACACAGATGGGATGGGTGAGCAAAAAGGAGAGAAAGGAATCAGCGGGAAAACAAATATTTGAGAAATGACAGCCTACATGAGAGTGAAACCAGAGGGAGGGACCGCGAACGCCTCCCAGAGACACTGAGAGGATTCCTCCTGTGGTCGGAGAAATAACAGCTCCCTGTAAACAGGCTGACAGGATGATTGCACGACAGGGCAGCCGGGTGACGCCTCACAAAACTCTGCAGGCACATGCAGGGAGGCGACACGCTGCAAGAAATATCCAACTGCGCAGCCACAACTTTACCTTTACTTTTTCTGTTCAGTGAATACAAATCAAAGTTTTTCTCCTGTATTAGTCATGAATTGCATTACAATGAGTCTGTCACAGTCAGCTTTTAAAAGATTAGAGACAGAATTCTGCAGTTTTTAAAAGTTCTATGTGCTCTGATTAATTGTGAATTCAAACGCTTTGTTGATACAGCAGAAGCATGTGTCAGTGCGGTTGGAACAAAGTGCTTTAAGACTGAAAAACAGCATCAGAAACCCCTCCTTTCTAATGATGATAACAATTTGACAATATCTATAAGTTTTGAAGTCCTCACACAGTCGGACAGCTGCACTATGCACAGAGAACTGAACAACAATAATGCAATCTAATGCATCACAACATTTATAGCCACAGACACATAAAACATCTTCACTAACAAAGCGAAACTAGACACACGTTGGTTTAAAGCACCACTTGTTTTCCTGATGCGTGTGCAGTCGACACGCCTGCAGCGCAGGCAGCCTGCATGGTTGTAAATTCTGGGTCTGCGGAAGGCATGAATTGGCTTTTATCCACGAAGCGACTGAGGCGCCCCACTGCCTTGATTTCACACAAGAGGAGGAGTTTACCTGTCAGGGAGAGGACTCAGCCTGCTGTTCTGCATAATGTCTTTTCAAGTGCACACGTGTCTAATCATGGCAAACAAATGTCTCTTCATTGGTGGTACACAGCTTCTTCTCTGTGACTTTTTTTTCCCACAGCAGCAGTGTTTGCATGTACATACGTGCTAAAAGTAAGGGGATTAAACGGGAAGGTTCAAAAACATAAAGAACTTGCAACAACAATGGTGTCTGTGTTATTTTAGCTGTATTCAGGACCTGAACGTTATTTGATTTTTCCTAGATTCTTTGAACTTGTTCTGTCACAGTTGGGCATCTTGAGCTTTCACTAAATTCCTACTGGCAATCTCAAAGCTTCCAGAGTACAAAGCTTCCAAACTCTCGTGTTCTTGCTTGTTAGATATTTGGAAGAGATTCATCATCAAAATAAACTTTGTAGATGTAAACAGAAGTTATCTGGTGCGTCTTAAGATCTTACTCATTAAAAGCAGAAAATAAACAGCCCCAGATATTGTGATAGACTTTAGTTCATGACCTTCCGCCCACAGTCTTTTTAATAAAACCAGCTCTCAGAGAAAACATCTGAGATTTTCCTTCCTTGTCAGAAACTCATGGAAATCCTGTTTCCAAAATTCAACCTGGCAGTTTCAAACGATGCCCACTAACAGAGTGACACCTGAGCATCACTGACCTTCTGCACGGTGGAGGTGAGCTCCAGACACAGCTGGATGATTCTGCTTTTGGTAGAGGTGAAGTCGTTGGCACTCGTCAGAGGAGTCCTGAAAAAAATAGCGTAAAATTATTGTTAATGACACAGTGGAATGATCTATAGTGAACCCATGAATCTTGTCAGTGCTGTCTGAGATTGTAGGGTGTGGCTAATAGAGCCGGATTCACAACGCTCCAAGGCTAACAAATCACATTTTGACTATCGAAACCCTTTAACATCCAGTTTCAACCGTTATACTGCGCTCATGTTACCTCAATACACATATTCAGAACTTCTCATGATACTCACAGTGTATTAACGTTGTACAGGGCTAGTTTCCTGTCGGCAGTTTTAACAGCTCAAAACATTCAGGTGCCACAAAATGACATTGGTTTATCCTTATTGTGGTTAACGGCATCAAAGAACTAGTGTAAGACATCTTCATTTGTCACTACACAAGCAAATAAAGCTGTTTTTATTCTTTCTAGTGGAATCAAACACATAGACAGGTTTCTAATTTTAATCCTGCTGACCACTGCTTTCATCTGTTGCAGTGACAAATGATTTAGAACTTGTGGAAGATAGCTAAAGTTAAAAGATGTATTGTCAAGCCATTTACCAGAATATCAGCTGCATCTAATAAAAACTTCCCAAAAACCCAAAACGAAGCTTGTCTGGTTACTGGGCGGCGGTAACTGGACAGTGTGACTGACTGATAGCACTTGTCTGATGAAACAATCAGGAAATTGTCAGTTGCAGGAGTCGGGATGTTGCAATTGACCTTTGATTTAGATCAAAAATTAAAGTTCATCAACTGAATATTGTGATTCAGGAACCTCGGTATTTGGTGTAATAACAGACAGGCTATACCTGTTATTATTCTAAGGTGTCTGATTATCAGCATGCTGCTCAGCAGCTCATCACATTTTGAATCTTTGAGTTCTGTTTTAGTTTATGTAACCTTAGATCATATCACATTTTGAAATCTGAACATAACGACATTTAAAATGATTTGGATGTAATAAATTATTTCAGTACTGGACGCAGGTCTTATAAAATGTCCCTAAACCCAGACCCCAGGTGTTTCTGGGTCTGACACTCATCAGGTGTGTTATGGGCGTCAGTGCAGTAACTTGTCAGTGTTTGTGTGTAACAGCTGCAGAGAAGCTGGAATGTTCTTCAAGCTGATACAAGCTGAGAAAAACCTGAAGGAGTTGAACAGCGAAGAGACAAGTAGAGCGACACTCTGACAGCTGTCAGACGCCACGCATGTTAACAAGGAATAGCGCTAACGAATAACTCTCTCTTACCCAATATTCACTCACTTTAGTTTTTGTCTTACACCAGGAGAACCAACCACACAAAGTGGAACATCTGCCTGGAGTTTACTCAGTATAATGTGATCTACATATTCTAAGAAATGGTCAGTTTAAAAAAAAATAAAAAATGTATCACTGATGTACAATATAGCGACACCCTCCAAATCGTGGTCTTATCTTGTAGCCAAAGTGTCAAAGTCTAGCTTTAGAACCCCATCCATCATCTATACACCGCTTAATCCTCACTAGGGTCACAGGGAGGCTGGAGTCTATCCCAGCTGACTCAGGGTGAAGGCAGGGGACACCCTGGACAGGTCACCAGTCTATCACAGGGCTACACTTAGAGACAGACAACCAAGCACACTCACATTCACACCTACAGACAATTTAGAATCACCAATTAACCTCAACATGTTTTTGGACTGTGTGGGAGGAAACCAGAGAACCCGGAGAGAACCCACGCTGCACAGGGAGAACATGCAAACCCACGCAGAAAGATCCCAGTGCCAGCTTTAGAACCGTTATTTTAATTTATATTTACTGTAAAGTTTGCTTGATCAAATCGCTTCAATCCTTCATGTGTTCTAAATAATTAACACGAATTTTTTCAAAAATGTTTTTGCTTTTTTTTTTTTTTTACATAAAAATTGCTTTAAAATGATGTCCAAATTGGTGCTAATAATTTATCCATCAGCAGACTAATAAACGAATCAATTTAGCGTTTTAGCTCAGCTGGTTATTTTCTGGGTGAATAAGGGAACTGACATGTTTGTACCGTGGGGCCCCTGAGGAGGTTAATTTGGTCATTGCTCTTACATACCTAGTGAACCATAAAACCTTCTCAGAAAACCTTTCAGATCACACAAGTCTTGTAGTCTGTGTAGGATTTGACCTTATAAAGTGTCAAGTAACAACAGTGTCCACTGTCGAGTTTTAATAAAAAACACGGCACCTGCTGGGCCCCTAAAACAGAACACAACTAAATAACGCAACATGTTTTCTAAGATCTTTTGTGATGAATGTAGTCAAGAAGAAGCTAGCCTACTTCAGTTTTGTACTTCTTAAGTTAAAAGCTGTGGGATCTTTGCAAAACTAAACACAAACACTAAATATGTCCCTATATTAATATTAATTTAAAAATAAAAGCAGCAACAGGAAACAACATCTAACTTAACTGAATCACAAGGCTGATCAAACACTTCTTGTTTAATTCTCAATGTCACTTCAACTGTAAACTCTTTTGTTTAACAATCTGAAGCCAACAGGCATTTATTGTATTCTATATATCTATATTCTATATATCAGTCAGCTTGGTGACGACACACGAGAGGCATTAAAGGAGCAGTTTGACAATTTGCAAAATGCACCTTTTTGCTTTCTTGTCAAAGATTATTTGAGAAAATTGATGTCACTCTCGTCATTGTACTAAATTAAAATATGATAAACTATAAATGCTATAAGAAATATTTAACAAAATATTGAGCTGTACCTTTAAGAAACTCTCAATCTAAGTCAGCAACTGGAAATGTAATCAAAATAGGGAATTAGTGTGAGTTCGATGGCAGCCTAGAAATAAACACAAGGGCTCATGCACTAACCTGCATCATGTTTGTTACTGATTGACATATTTAATAAAAGTGGAATTACGTTATTACCCTGATGTTAAAGTCGATTTAGAATACGCTGAGTGAATCTGTATGCATGTATAGCTGCAATCAAAATTATCCAACCACATCAAACATATGAACTAAAACCAAGAAAAACTTTAATGATGCATCTTTGATTTATTTCTGACACCGCAACGTTGAGTTTATTAATAGTACTTAAGGTAGAAAAAAAAGCATGATCAGAAAATATCAAACTCGGCCACTAAGCACCACTGATTCATTCTGTGTCTGTGCATATACACAGTATGTAGGCTTATGTATTAAATAAACTTATGTCTACCTGTCCAGCCACGCCAGCAGGCTCTTGGCGGCTCCGATCAGCTCGACCACGGCGGTCAGGAATTCGTTGGAGGGCTGATGGGAGTGTTTGCTCTGGTAGGCGGGGTTCTTCCTGCGCTGCGACACGGCGCTGCTCAGGTGGTGGTGCGCCACTCTCATCTTCCCCACCAGAGTCTTCAGGTTGTCCGACTCCACGCCATAGTTCTGTTAAAGAGGTCAAATTTTAAAGACTTTATCACAATACAGTTCTTTGTCAATCCACTGGTTAGTGTTTGTGTATTTCTGAAGACTCATGACCACCTCCTGCCCCACTATGTTGGATGCAGTTTCATTCCACAACTTACAAATCTGTCATCACAGGAAACTCCTAAAGGGGCACAACAGCGGGTTACTATCGCACAAAGCTGGAGGTTAGGCTCCATAAACTCTACACACCTCATTTCACATTTTCCATACATAACTTTCCCTGCCTGATAAATGCTCATGTGTTCTAAGATTCTCCAATTATGAAATAAAAGACTTGTCAAAGTTGTGTTGTGAAAAGGAATTAGGAATGATGGGAGAGAATTTACAAATTCCCATGACCCCTGACCACACACACACCCCGTCCCCTTGATGAAAACACACACACAAAAAAACCCCACGCACATTCCTACAGTCCAGTCACCATAGTGATGATCTGACTAAAAGAATATTCTACACCACGCCAGCTTCACTCAAACTAAGCACAAGCCCAAAGTGAGTGGTTGAGCTGACCGTTAACAGGACCAACAATAAGCTGCATGATCGATATACTGCACATAAATGAATGAATGAATGTTCGATCTTACTATGGTTACCGTCATGTTAAGATAGAAGAGGCAACATTTGGCGTGTTCTTTCAGATCTACTGACCGTAATTAGTCAGTCAGTAAATCAATCTTGTAAAATATTTCTCTATGAAATCTCCAGACTTGACAGTAAAATTCGTTATTTTGTTCCACGCCCCCACGGCTCCAAACAGGATCTGTAATTTATTGTCTGTCAGCTGACGGTGTGAACACGCTGGCTTGCCTGAGGCGGCTCAGATGTTTGAAGCGTCGGGACGCTCAAAGCCAACAAAAACATCTACGCTGACATTCCACCTGCCGATGGACTGAACTGTTAAAAACATATATATATATCCACCTTTACAGATCCAGGACACCTGACCTCAAGTTTCAAGGAAAACTTTCAAATCGTGACAAACAGGAACATGATATGATATCATATGTCAATCTGAAGCGAGCTCAAGATAAAGTTAGGCCTTTGCTGGAGTGAAAGAGGCAGCGGGTTGTACTTTGATTTATCAAAGATCTAAATAACCACTGAAACAGCAAAAAACCTCCTGCACTGTGAAAATAGGAAAAAACTGTGACTGACTGAAAACTCTTCCTTAAAACGTGTAAAACTCAGGACAAAAGCAGATGCATGATGACGTCAGGTATAGACTTAATTCGACAATTCACTTTTGAGAGTTGATCTTTGAATTGTAGGTAGCAGTCTTGGTGACTCATGTTTTCTATTTATTATCTATAAGTTGTTTAGTTTTCGTCCTGTGTCTCCTTCAGAAGCAACTCTGAAACATGACTGGGGGACTCTCTGCTCCTGAGCTATTTTAGTTTGGCTTCTAAGGTCAACATGAGGCTATTTCCCACTGCAGGTTATTTTACGGTGGCTCTAAGTGTTATATGTTATATTAAAACTGAATTCATGTATGAGGTAATGTTGAGTTAATGTGTGGAAGTGATTTATGTACGGTTGAATTTTTATCTGAAATATTGTTGTTGACATAACCGAGGTTCTGCATAGGAACTCAAGTTTGTGTTTGATTCTGGTATGACGATAATATGATGCGCACACAGACAGGTGTATACACTCTGGGACTTGATTAGAGCAGACGCGTTGCTGTGTTGCAAATGAATGGACGCTTCCAACAAGACAGAACAACCTCTTTTTGTGACAGGCGGTGCATCGAGGTATTCTGCTGTATTTGTTAAAGCACTTTATGTTTATAAGTTTGTACAGTGCTCTTAACACTTTTTTGTGTGTTTTGACTGCAGAATGCTGCCTGTAGAACCTCTTTCAGGGCTGAGTTTAGGGGAGAAATACGTAGGTAGTTCTAAGCAGCCCAGACACACTGCTGTGCTTGTTTGTTAAACTTGGAGAAGACAAAAGCTGCTATTTCTTTGCCCTCTCAATGTTGAGCAGAAGTCTTCTCCTGCACAACTTACCAGTCACCATATAATCTGACACAGTCGTTGTTCTTTTGACACACTCACAGTTTAACATCGCAGTTGAAGCTGTCAGATCCTGCACCACAATGGAAACAGACAGGCTAAAGCGCTGATTATGGGGCTGTTCCTGTAAGCGTTGCTGCTTACAGTTCCGGCGGTGGAAAGCCACCTATTAACGTCAAAGCACTGGCAAAGAGACATCATTGTGTATCTATGGTGGCACCTCGGTGGCAGTAGAGACAACACCAGGGCTCTTGGATAACTGTATATATTCAGAGGTTTACAAAAGATTTAGAGCATGTTGTTGTGGCAACTTAATGTTCTCAAACTGTAAGTGTAATAATAATAAACCTGTGGTGTGTTTGGAAAGTTGAAGTAAGAACAGAAAAAAGCCTCTCATGTTCTGCTGAATAAGCCTCTGATGGAAAACTCATCATCTGGCAGCGCAACAGTAACTGCTGGAACAAAGCTGCCGTGGCGTTTCCTCTCCAGGCTGTACAGTGTTTGAATGTGTGTGTTTGTGTGTGTGTGTGTGTGTGTGTGTCTAGGGAAGGGTGGGGGGTCGTTCTGACAGGTGGGAGGGGTCTCCATCTGTTTCCTGCTCCACACCAGAGAGCAGTAAGCTGCAAAAAATATCCACAACACATCACTTGACCTTCAATTCAGCAGTACAGGAAATCGCTCCCTGAAAGGCTCGAGCCACTGCTGATGATGGTGACTGTGCTTGGTTTGTTTCGGGGAAGGGAAGGACATGGGTGTGACGATGTTCTGCTTTGGTGAATGGGCATTATTATTAAAATGTACTTAATGACTTAACCAAGGTTTAAATGCGAAGAGATCATATGGGCAGAAAGAGAGGTGATAATGATAACTTTCATTCAGTCTTCCTCAAATGTATTCATACACTTCCATTAAGGAAAAGGCAAAATTCACAATAGTCACTCAAATAAGTAGAAACTGAAAAAAGGGGTATGAATACATTTGAGGACGACTAAATATTTACAACTTAATATCAAAGATGCATGATATTGGATTATTGATATCTGATATGCTAATATTTTCCATCTT